CAAATCCCTTAAGGCACTTTGATCTTGCCACCTAACGGGAATTAGCCTTTGACTTCCCCTTTCCATCTCCCATCATCTGAACTCCCAAATTACCCACCAAACCAAAACCATGTACAAAAAGGCCAGGAGCCTGGGGAGGTATGCGGCTGAGCGATTCCATGATCTTTACGTGTAAGTCAAAATTCCCAAACTGCCCCATCCAAGGTCAATGCACATTCTGCCTTGAAACCCTCATGCTACGATAAAGGTCTCTTATAGTAGCCAGGAGTCGGTACTGTGGCTGGGAATTCTTCCAAAAAGAGACAGAAACGACAAGAAAGAAACTTCTGGGCTGCAGGAGAGGCTGGATAAGACCACGAAAATGGCACCAGGTGGAGCTGGGGCTGGAACTGTGGCTGGCCTGTCCCCAGCCTGAGAGAACTCAGGAAAAACCTTAGAGAGAGCCAGCCTGCGAGGGAATGTGAGAACGTTCACATCTTTTCCCTCGTGCCCAATCAGCCATACTTTATTTATGTATAGCTTCCTTTTCACACAAACAAACTTGCTCCCCTCTGAGACATAAGCTCTGCTCTGGTCACTGGCACTCGATGGGGGAGGTCTCCTAAGGGAATCAGAAGTAAAAACCTCGCTCCTCAGTGGCTGAGCTGTGCAACCTAGGGAAAGGGCCCTCACTTCCCTGAAGCTGAATTCGTATCTGGCACATGGCAGATGTTCAGGAGCATAGAAGGACCTCAAAGGAGAGAGTCATCAAACCAGGAAAGGCAGCTCTGCTGCCTGGCAAATGTCAGGGGGCATAGAAGACCCTATTTACATTCCATTCTGCCTTGGACATATACATTTATAGATTTACAGAATCTTAGAAAGTTAGGGATTGAGAGATGATGTCCAATCCCCTATTTTACAGATGCGGACACTGAGTCCCAGAAAGGGATTGGGACTTGTCTAAGGTCATTGATTTTTGCCAGCATGAACTCCAATGCCAGTCTTCAGATCTGGGTAGGTGGAGGCTGATTATAAACCCATACCCTAAGAGACAGGATCAGAAGAAATGGCTTTAAATTGCAAACAAAAGGATTTAGCTGAGACACAAGGAAGAATCCTGACTGCAACAGAAGAGTGTGGAACAGGCTTCTCTGGGATGGGATCCTGCCCAGAGGCAGGGGGATGCCTGCAATGATCTCTGCATTGCACCTCCCAGCAGCACTGCTCCCATGCCAGTCCTCTTCTTTGGGAGTCCAAGGGATTCAAGGTCCCTCTCCCAGAGCCTGGCACCGTGGCCAGCGGCTGGGGGAACTTGAGAGGCCAGTCCTGGAACAGGTGCAACAGCTGGAGCAACTGCACAGCTGCTGCCCTGCTCGGCTCCGCAGCCTGCAAGCCAGTGAGTGAGACAGAGACCTCTACTGGTGGGAGAGAGGATGTGCAGAACCTCCTAGACAGACTCAGAGAGGGGCCTGACTGGAGCCAGATGTCAGTCCTCCGTACTCACTGTGCCAGGCCCTCTAGGCACTTTCTCTTGGTGTCTGAGAATCAGTCTATCTATCCACTCCTCCCTGGCAGGGCAGGAGTACCAGGCTGCAGACCCATACTCTCCCAACTCCCTTTTCCAAAGGTCAGAGCAGACTCAGAACCAAGGCAACAGCATCTTTGGGTCTTAGAGTCTTAGATTCATGGGATGTTAAAGCTGGAATGGTCCTCAATGATTATCTATTTGACTCCAACCATCTCATTTTACAGCTGGGGAAATCTCAGGGGCAGAGAAAGGCAACTTGCCCCAGGTCACAGTTGGAATTGGTGGCAGAGCCAGGGCTGGAGCCCTGACCTTCTAATTCCAAGTTTGCCCTCTGTACCATATCATACCATGGGAGCTCCCTTCCCGCCCCATCTCTGCCTATGGGGTCTGGGGTTTTGTCACCTGGGAACAAAAACTTTGATTCCCATAGTTTATATAACCCTTGGAGATAGAATAGAGCAGCCAATGTTTTTACCTGATAACTCTCCCCTGAAATCAGGATTGGCTGGAGGGAGAGATGAGAAAGCAGAAGTGTGCTGGACACCCTAAAGGGGGGTGTGGAGGGCACAATTAGTAAGGAAAGAGCACAAAGAAGAGGAGCTGACATAGGAGAAAGAGCACTGGAAAGGGAGTCAAGGTACTAGGCAGGTTCTTGTTCCACAGACAGAAGGGAGGGATGGGTGCCCAAAGCGACTGACATCATGTACGCATGTGGCTCAGCCTGGGACTGGCAACAGTACTGGTCAGTGACCAGGTCAGGGATCCCACCCTGGCTAAGGGCTCTAGCTGGGAATGGAATAGGGGTTTGATCTATGGTAGTGTTTGAGGATTAGGCCTCAGCCTGTGGCTGGAGTTGAGATTCAGTTTGGGCTAGGATCAAGGCTCAATCTGTGGCTGGAAATAGAGCCAAGGATAGAATAACCTTTGTTTGAATACCCTTGTGCTTTAAATAAGGAGCAAGCTGCCACGCATGTTCACAGGACCTAGGCATTCTGCAGGACTGGGCCACCTCAGGAGTCAGACACCACACGGGCTTGAGAATTTCCATCTGTCGGTATCACTTCTGAAAGCACCTAAGATGCCACCAGGAGATTTCATATCTATAACAGGCCCGAGATCTTACTAACTGAACTTACTAAACTAAGACAAGGGTCTTCACAGGAGAACTTCAAATAAGACCTCGGCAAATGACTATAGGATTGTTTCTAGATTCATAAGTTGTTAGCACTACACAGAATGAGGCTCAGAGAAGGAAAGTGATTTGTCCTAATTCACACAACCAGTAAGTGACAAATCGGAGACTAGGATCCAGGTCTCTGTTCTTTGCTTTAATAAATTTGCTGTGCGACTTTGAGCAAGTCACTCCCCCTTTCTGGGCTTCAGTTTAACTATAAGGATTGGTACATCGAGGGGTAGAAGATTTTCAAATGTTCTTCTGGCTTTGACATCCCAGAATCTTATACCCCTCTGACTACCGGTCCACCTCACATTAACTCAACAGTTCTGCTCTGAGGTTTTTCTTGCACGTCGGGAACTAGGCTCCAGACTAGGGGAGATGGAATGCTGGCAGCACCTAGTGAGAAACATGGCCCGAAGGCCAGTGGAGGCACAGAGGAGGGGAGATCAGAGTGCATCAGGTGGCAGGGAGAGTTTGCTGGAAGAGGTGTGACCTAAGCAAGGCTGTAGAGGGCTGACAAACTGTGGGAGGCAAGAAGGAGAGGTGTGGGTAGGACATGAGCAATCTGCAGAAAGATCTGATTCTAGGACATCTTTCTAAGACACAACCAGGGCAACGAAATTTGGAGAAAAGCCTTGGGGGTTAAGAGCCATGTGCCAAGTGGAAGGGAAGCAGGCATGGAGGGCATCCTGTGCTAAGTCGCTTTTAAGAAACAACAGGAAGGTACTAGGAGGAAACCTCCAGGGCTCCAGGAGGGGGAGGAGACATTGATTGAGTAGTAGGCATTGTGCTGGGCACTTAACACAGTCACCTCCTTTAATCCTCCCATGAAGTGTTCGGGTTCCAGGTGAGTATGGGTCTTAGACAGATGCAGAAATTGAGGCTCAGAGAAGTTGTCACTTATGAAAAGTCACACAGCTACTAAGAGGCAGAGCCAGGACTTGAACCAACCCTGGGCTCTTTTCAGGACTTGTTACTAAGGACTTCAATGAGTCTCATGCTACTGGCAGCCCAGAGACGACCAGACATGCAGCCTGCCCTCATGATCAGAGACAAGAATGAAACAAAATCCAGCACTGCCGGCTCCAGAAAGTCATGTGCAAAAGAAGGCAGAGATGGGGGAGCTGAGCTGTGGACAGGAAAGAGCTCTAGGCTGGGAAACTGGGGTTTCATCCTAGGCTCCGCCCTGTGTAACCTGGAGCAGACCACTGCCCTGGGCCTCGGTTTCTTTATTGGGTATGTCAGGGTTTGAACTAAGCTCCTTCCTTCTTTTTAAGAGAATCTTTGGTTTTGTTTTCCACCCTCACAGCGTTGCAAGAGATCGGCAGAAGATGGGGAGGAGGTCCACCAGCCTATTGTGGAAACAGTGAGGAAACTGAGGTTCAGAGAGATTATATAAACTGTTTGCAGTTACGCTGTATCTAAGTGGAAAAGCATGAATTAGGGAACATGTTTTTCAAGAACCTACCATGGACCAGCTAGTTGCTGGTGCTGGTTGCTTTCCATGTTTTCTTGAACTTAATCCTCAGAACAGTCCTAGGATTTTTCACTCCCATTTTATAGATTAGCAAACTGAGGCTCCGAGACATGCCCTCCATGCCTCCCTCCTACCAGCTGGTATTCAACAGATCTGGGATAGTGAAGACCCTGGTCTATCTCACTGTGCCCTGCTACCTCCCAGTGTCTCACAACTCCAAATCAGGGTTCCTTCCACATGCTGTGGGACACAGGGGAAAAAGGTATAGGATTTGGAACTGGAGAGTCCTGACTTTGGATAGCTCACTACCTCTGTAAACTTGAGCACGTTTCTTCTCTCAGCCTAAGTTTTCTCATCTGTAAAATGCAAATGATAATACCCACCTCATGGGAGTGTTGTGAGCATCAAAAGAGAAAAGCAATGGGAAAGTTCTCCTAGTTAGCTCTTCTTTCTTTCCACTGGCTCTCTTTAAATGCAATACCCTCTTCGTCTTCATCACACCCTTGCAGCCAAACATACCAGACTCTCTACTAGGAATAAGCATAGCCCCTCCCCCACAAAAAGCACAGCGCCCTGCCCTCTCTCCCACTGCTCTCAGTTCCCTCTTCCTCGGGTCCATGGCTGCAGCCCCCTTGGCTCTGAGTCTTGCCAAGTTCCCCCCAGTCTCCCAGACTCATGAACCCATACTGGTCCGCAGAGAAGTCTCCACCCTCCCGGTACAGGTGCTCCCTGGATGGCTGTCAGAACAGTCTGGGGTCCCAAGTCCTGGCACTTTCCCGCGCATCCCGGGTCTCCCATCCCTCTTCTGCCATCCAGCACACCCACCCGTTACTTACGGGCTCGTGCGTGGGAGTCCAAGGGGAACCAGAGCAGCGCGAGTCCCAGCAAGGAGGAGAGGACCCTTACCTCGGGAACCATCCTTCCTTTCCCAGGGCCAGGCCCCCAGGCGCTGAGCCGGGAGGGGGAGTCGGGAGAAAGTGAGATGAGGGGGTCACTGAGGCACAGCGCCACAAAGCAATGCACAGACCCAGGGAGGGCGGCTGCTACCGTGGAGATTCAGAGAAGGGTCGAGAAGAAGGTGGTGAGGACAAAAAGGGAGGTCCAAGGTGGGAATAAGAGGAAGGTGGAAAGAGAACGGAGGGAAAGAGATGGAGGGATAGAGGAAGGTATGCAAGAGGGGAAAGCGATTAAAGCAAAGGAGAAGGTGAGAGGGAGGGGGGGAGAAGAAAGACAGGAGAGGACAGGGGTCCACCGAGCGCGCAGCGCTGGGCGAGGCGCGCGGGACCGGCGGGCTGTTCCGGGCGTGCGGGCTAGAAGCGGCAGGCGCCCTCTGCTCGCTGGGCTCGGGGTCGGGCCGCGGGGTCCTGGGGCCCGGCGGGGCGGCGGTACCGGCGGCGGCGATGGCGCGGCGGCCGCTGGGGGAGGCTGCGCGCGGGCCGGCTGTGCACGCCAAGGGCGCCAGGCGCCGCGCTCGGGAGCATTTGTACTTTGCCGCGGGAAGCAGGCAGCCCCGGCCTGGCGCTGGCCTAGCGCTGGCGCCTCCTCTGGGGCACCGCGGGCTCGGTGGATTGGCCACCCGAGAAACAGGCCCACTTTTCCCCCTCCTCTCTAGTGCTGGTCTCTGGGACAGACGCTCCAGGCGCGGCGCCGAGAGGAGGCGAGGGGGCTGGGGAGGGGGAAGGAGCCACCCGGGCCACGGGTTTTAACCCCTGACTCCCCGCGGCGCCCAGAGTGCAGGAGGACCGAACCCAGTTAGGCTTCAGGTGGGAACTAGGGGTGGGGAAGGATGAGATGTCGAGTCGGGGAGGGGAAGTGGGCTGAGGAACCGAGAGGCGCTCAGGTTAGGGAACTCAGCGGTGCGTGCACGGAACTCCGCCTCTGGATGAAATCGGGACACTTGCTGTTCTTAATTCTGTTTGTGGACTTGGCCACTCCACCTGAGTCTGTTTCCCAGATCCCGATACTAAAATTGGGATCTTAGTATCTTTTGATATTTTAATGTCTTCCCGCAATTATTTCGAACATGAAATGAGATAATGAACGTCAAAGCACTCAGATCTCGAAAGGAAGGGGGCCTAATTCCAGGAGCCTGGAATACTCTTACCAGTTACCCCCCGAACCCACAGACACCATGTGCCCAAGCTGAAATCCAGCCCAGAGGGATCCTTGGTCCTTACTTTGGGAGTCTTCCTCTGCTTCCCCCTCCCAGTCCTGAAGCAGGACACAATCTCTCCTTGGCCTCTGCAGGTGAGGCCTGCACCTCTCTGAGAGTGTTTGTCATACTCAGTCCTCTTGAGTAAGAGCTTTTTGTCAAAGTGTTGTCTTTCTTACCAGAAGGTGAGTTCTGGGAGGGCAAAGCCTAGAGCTTCCCACCGCAGCCCATGGTTGGTGCTCCATACCTCATGCTGAATGAGTGTATGAATTAATAGGACCTAAGAAGAGAACCACCAGCTCTGTCCAGATAAGAAACACTCAAAATCTGAACTCAAAAGGGCAGGGCTGGGCTTCCCTGATGGCGCAGTGGTTGAGAGTCCGCCTGCCGATGCAGGGGACGCGGGTTCGTACCCCGGTCCGGGAAGATCCCACATGCTGCGGAGCGGCTGGGCCTGTGAGCCATAGCCGCTGAGCCTGCGCGTCCGGAGCCTGTGCCCTGCAACGGGAGAGGCCACAACAGTGAGAGGCCCGCGTACCGCAAAAAAAAATAGGGCAGGGCCCTTGTCCTGGCTCTCTCCCTAGCTTGGATATCTTTTGTAAGTTCATCCACCCCCAATTTGGACCTCAGCTTCATGCCCAGCTTCTCTTGCAGAGCTGCTGGAAACTCCAGTGAATGTTGGAGGGGAGAAGACCGGGAGGAATAAGAGAGAAGATGGGATGTTGAATCACAACCCACTCTGGTAGGGAATCACATTTCCAGGTTGAAGCACTTCTGACTGTGTCTGTAAAGATAACTTCCTGGGCTATGGCTGTGCTCTGCATCTACTGTGTTACCTCCATGCTCTCCAAGAACAGAGAGCACTGGAGGAACCAGTGATCCCGGAAACAGAGCTTCCCCAGGGCTCTCCGAAATAGAGACAAACATGATCTGCCCCTGGGTGCCCTTCAAGCTTAATTTCTCCTTCTCCAACATGGCCAGCCACTTCCTCTCCCTTGAGTTTCCCTTTTTGCTTAGGCTTTCAGGGAACTCAGAGTTAAATTTAGTGTTTAATTGCGTCCTCCCTCCCCCCTCCCCTTTTCTTGGCCACTCTGCGTGAGGCTTGTGGGATCTTAGTTCCCTGACCAGAGATTGAACCCTTGCCCTTGGCAGTGAAAGTGCCGAGTTCTACCACTGGACCTCCAGGGAATTCCCATTTTAGTGTTTAATTGCAAAAATAACCTCATCCCAAGTACTTGGGACAGAGCTCTTTTCCTTTCTCCATCTTTGTTTAAAGTCTGCTATACACATATATTCATGTCTTAGGTAAAAGAGGTGGATTGAGATTGGCCTCCCTTACATCCTGTCCATTCTACTTCAGGAAAGGTCTCTACCATGAGACAAAAAAGGTCTCAACACTCCTCTCCATCCTTATTGTCCTCAGAGCTCAGGCCATCTTCATCCCCTACTGGACTTTCTTAATAGCCTCTTCGCAAGTCTTCTGCCCCTAGCGTGGCTCCTCCAATCTATTTTCTTCACACCTGCCATAAGGATTATGTTGATCATTTCTACTGACAAATCTGATCACATCATTTTCCCACTTAAAACCCATTATTGGAAATAAAAAATATATAACATTAAGTGCAATGTGATATCCTGGATTGGATTCTGGGTCAGTAAAAGGACATTAGTGGGAAAACTGGTGAATAAAGTCCATACTTTAGTTTATAGTAATGTACCAACATTGGTTTCTTAGTCTTGACAAATGTGCCATGCCTATGTAAGATGATAACATCGGGGGAAACGGTGAAAGATCTATGGTTCTTAGATAAAAACGCTGTACTATCTTTGCAACTTTTCTGTCAATCTAAAACCCTTCCAAAATAAAAAGTTTATTAAGTATATAACAGGATAAAACATTACTGACTTCCTATCATTTATGGATTCTAATCCAAAATCATTAGCATTGGATTCAAGACCACACATTTTTTGGCTTTGCCACCTCCCCTATACTTTCACCAGCCACTCGCCTCCCAAACTGGCCTTGCATTTTCACACCCCCATAGCTTTGTATATGTTTTCCTTCTGCCTGGACTATCTTTCTCCTCCTTCATCTAGTGAATTTTGTTTTACTTTTCAAAAGTCAGCTCTGAGTCATTTCTCTCTCAGGCCTTCTCTGAGTCCCCCAGGCAAAGTGAATTTTTGGTAGCAAAAATTTTAGCAAATAGCAAAAATTTGTATTTTAACTGTTGAAGTGTAAATATTTGCATTTCTACCCTGCACTCTGAGGGCAGGGTTTGTTTGTTTTCATTTATATCTATATTTCCAGCATTTAGCAAAGTCCCTGATACACAAAGATACTGGGTAAATAATTGCTTCATGAAGGAACGAAGACCTCGGCGATATTATTCTCTCACGGGAGAGGCTTCAGCACCCCTATTGCCCTCAGCTTTAATCAGTGATTGACATAAGAAACAAGCTCTTGAGGAAAGTTTCTGTGTCATCTGTAGAATTGCTGTTGAGGACGGTTGTCCATATATTATCTAATATCCTTTTAAAAAGGAGATTTGATAAATTTTTCCAAAATCTAGTCAGGAAAAAAATTACCCATAGCAATTTGTTGCACCAAGTTTGTCTGGCACCTGCTTGCTTCTGCCTTAGGGAACTTGCTCACAGCCTTCCTAGGTGGCCCATTGCACTGTTGGACAGCTCTGTTAGAAAGCTCTTTAACTGAAATCTGATTCTCTGAGATTCCCCTCGTTGCTCTTAGCTCTGCCCTCAGGGCTGCACAGAACAAGCCAAGTCCTTTGGTCTTCTGAGATCTCTACAGAGATGTGAGGCAGAGAACTCTTCCGTACTCTCATCTTTACCAGTTCTGGCCCCTGGACCCCTCATGCCACATTAAATTTTCTCTCTCTTCAGATGCGCTGAGCTCTTTTCTCCCTACGCCTCTGCACAGTATGTTTTTTTCTAACACCTCCCTCTACCCACTCTTATCTGTCTGGCTTATTTTTCCAGGATCAAGGTAACCTCCTTCATTCATCCAATAGTTATTGAGAGCCAACCTTGTGCTGGGCACAGTACTAGGTGCTAGGGACACAGTGGAGAACAAGACAGACACTGATGCTTATAGTTGAGGTTCTCGCTGAAGTCTCTCTAATGGCCTTCTTTCCTCCATGCTTCTGTATCTCCATTGTAGCCCTTGTCGCACTGTATCACCAAAGGTTTTATGTCACCTCCTCTAAAGTGAGAACATTCACTGTTATTTGTCTAATATCCTCCCTAGCTTTCAGCACACAGTTTTGTACATAGTAGCTGCTAAATAAAGGTTTGTTGAACAGAATTCTTGTTCTTTCAGACAGTCCTTTTGTGACTTGTTATTTGTGGCCAACAGGCCTCCTCCTGGACTGCAGGCTGCTTGATTATGTAAAATTAATATAGCAATAAGGACCATAGAGTTCAGAGTCAAGGAAAGTTTTCTTAATTCAGTCAACTTAGTTCTGTAAGTAAGATTCTAAAAGCAGATTTACCATATAAGAATCAATATAAGAGAACTACATAATACATACTACAACAGTGGTATGCTGATAAATGTTTAACAACCAGTTCTCCAAGGGAAAAAGCCCCTGGTTTATAGCATTTGCCAATTTCCATGGTGTAAATATTCCCATCAGGGCCAATTTCAGGCTACTGAGGGACATCATTGGATGTGGAGTTGAGATGCACAGTAGGACGCCATTATGCAGTGCTTCCATCATACAGATACAATAAATGTAAATAACTTCAAGAACATTGATAGTAAAATGTAATAAAATAATTAGGAGGCAATACTTTGAATGTTTTAAATATAAATTATTTAACTGTAAATTTATATAAGTTACTGTTTAGTAACGATCGAGTTTAACAATCAGCTTGCAAAATTCCTGAAAATTTACCACTGGGCTCTCCCAAGCCCTTATAAGCCAA